ACGTCTTTGCCCCGAGTGGCCGGTTCTGAAGGACGCGCCCGTGATGCATCACTTTGTCTTTCATTGTCGTCCTTGGAGATGCCGACATGCCAGTCTCCACGGGTGGTGGAGAGGACAGCAAGCAGCAGACAGATCTCAAAGGGCCCGCCGCCCCAACAGACGGGGTCCTGTGATGATGAAGCTTCCGCCGGACGACGACAACTGTACTGTATAGCTTCGTAATCCAGCATTCCCGGCTTGTCTCTGCGACCCCGCTTCCCGCTTTGTCAGGGACCAGAACAGGAGAAATTAGATGCCGTCATGGTCTTGTCTCGTGTGTTCGAATTGGCCCTGTCTGCTTCTTTTCTTGTTTGCTGCTAATGTCTGGGCTTGCGTGTCTCATCTTCCCTGACCCCCGTCGTTTCCGGTTCTCCCCCCATGAATGTCTGTGACAGTCGTCATATTGGAAACACAATATTTACAATTATCACGCACTGTATGATGAGAGATCAACTCATTTTCAGACAGAGATTCGGCAAGGGCGGGAAGAGGGGGGGAGATTGAGGGGGGAAAGGGATGGGATGGAAGGGGAAGCCATTCTTCAGATTGACCTCCTGACAATCAGATTCTTTCAGATTCGCCTGACAATGAAAAGACGAGTGCATGTCTCTCTTGTCCAGGGTAGCACAAATGTCATAGGATTGGGGATACAGGCTACACAAGGGATGTGACCCATCACCTGGTTCTAGGCTCAAGGTGAGGTGACCGAGAAACTAGAAGCCTCTCAGCTTCAGGTCTGGCGCCAGGGGAGGCTGGGGACGGGCATGTACAGTGTACACGGGATCAATAGTCAGCAGCCACGCGAAGAAGCGTTTCCACAGGCTAGGTCATCAAGTACTGATGACCTGTCCCCCTTCGCATCATGCCGACAGGCCGCATCCTGCGCGTCCTCGCCCAGCTTTCCACCACGAGGTCCGGGAACTCCACTGTTAACCCGATGGAGCTTGCAGGGTCCTTGCCGCTCAAGTGGGAATAGGCGACAACAGCTGTTTTCTTTGCTCATCTCTTCTGCTGCATGAACTGGCCACCTAGGGGCGTAACGCCCGTGGATGCTTCTGGCAAAGTTGTCAGGGATGCGTTACGGGATTAGCGACAGTCACAGGGGAGAAGGGGGAGTCATCTTTGTTTCTCCGGAGTACGGAGAAGCGAGTAGATGATGACACTTGTCACGGAGCTTCAACAGATCCAATTTCCTCCGGTCCTGACAGCACCCGCTCCGCTCCGTCCTCCGAGCCGGGTGACGTGACTTGCCTTGATTTCCGAATCGACCTACCCTGCAGGACAAAACCGGAAAAGTTGAGCATGATGCACGCTGATTGGTCAAAGCTCAAGGCTGAATGGATCCATCTTTGTTTGAACCTCTTGACCGCTTTTCCTCTTGAAGCATGCGCCGTCCAATCCAACGCTGCCATCCTACCACATTCTATTAGATTTCCAGATTCGATCTTCAGCTGCAACACAACAGGCCTCCTTTTTTTACTGCACCAAGCTTAATCTGGATTCAGCTCATTAAACGCAGGATAACGCACTCTGAAGCAGTCAGAAGGTCAAGAAAAAAAAAGACTGTGCTCGGAACGAAACTAGCGGCCCGCATTGAATCCGGGAACAAGGACCACCAGCTGCCACGGCCTCAGCAAACATTTTCCAGGGATCTTATTCTTTTGGGCTCAAACAAGGCCGAAACGGGAAAACGAAAGGAAAAAAAAAGTTTTTCACATTTTTGTCTCTCTCTCGGTTCGGTTCATCTTGCTCCGCCTCAAATCTCAATTCTTTTTTTTCCGGAGCCATCTCTTCTTGACCGCCTCGGGTATCTTGCCGTCCTGTTCATCATGACTCTCAATCTCGCCGAGTACGACGTCCTGGTCTTTGATATTGGTAAGACTGAGTACTGTTGTTTGTTGAAATTGAGTTTACCGCGAGAACTGTATTTGGGTTTATGGATGTAATATCTTCATCGATTGTACTTCTCTTCATCTTGTTCACTCAGTTATCAATATCTTCAGAATAGATTAATAACACACGCTTGTAGAAGGAACCGTCTGTCCCATCTCCTTTGTCAAGGACGTCCTGGTAAGTCGTCCCGTATTCCCGTCTTACTGCTGCGTGTCTCGCGCCCTTACCGCCTCGGAATCTTTCTCCCAACCATCCATGTGCCACCTACCTACGGTACCTCCGTCCATCACTCCCCTTTACCGCCTTCCGGGCCCGGACCTCCGTCCGGGAACCCACTGGAAAAAACACCTTGCCCAACCTCCTCATCTCCCGGGCCTCGGCCGATCACCTGCCGGCCCTCACACCCAGTTCTCGGTGCTCCTCCCCTGGCTGCCAAACCAGGTTGTGCCAAGTTGCTAGTAGCGCAGGTCTCGGACGTATGCAGGTTGTTTTGTTTGCTTGTTGTTCGGCCGCAGACACCCAATCTTTCCAGCCTCTCCCGTTCTCTCCTTCACCGACTTCTGCTCCTTCACACGTTTTTTCTGCTCAGTGTCGTCACTCAAGCAACCCGACTGACCAAGGTTCTTTCTCTCTGCTGGCGCTAGTTCCCATACGCCCTCGAAGCTCTCCCCAAGGTCCTCGACCAAGAGTGGGACAGCCCCGAGTTTGCAAAGTACCGCGATGCATTTCCCGAAGAGTATCGCAACTCACGCCCCGACTTCGAGGCCCACGTCCGCGATCTCGTGAAACGCGATGTTAAGATCGCCTACCTCAAGTCCCTCCAGGGATACCTCTGGCTGCAGGGTTACAAGTCGGGTGACATTGTAGCTCCCCTCTTCCCCGATGTTGACCCTTTCTTCAACCAGGCCGTCAAGGACGGCAAGAAGATCATCATCTACTCGTCTGGTTCTGTCCCGGCTCAGAAGCTCCTCTTTTCCCACACAAACTCGGAAAAGTCTGACATGACGCCTCTCATCGCCGACTACTTTGACACCACCAATGCTGGACCCAAGACCGAAGTTGACAGCTACAGGAAGATCATCTCCAGCCACCCAGAGCACAAGGACCTGGGTAGATGGCTCTTCCTTAGCGACAACATCCACGAAGTCTCAGCTGCCGTGGAGGCGGGTATCCGTAGCGTGCCCGTCATCCGTGACGGCAACGCGCCCTTGCCGCCAGACAACTCTCTGACCAAGCTCGCCATCTCCGAGTTCAAGCATTCGGAGGATGCATGATAGACAGCTGCAAAGGTCCCGGTGGGGAAAAGGGCAATCGTCGAATCGTGTGGCACCCTGGTGCGGAGATGCAAAGAGTAGTGACTCGCTAGACATTCTAGTCCCCCCAAATCTGAGACCGCACCGTCCAGCTGATCTTTGCCCACTGGTGACTTTGGTGTGCCCGTTATCCATGCATGCATTGCCGTCGCATGTATCGGTGGTGCGACACGGCATACTGCGAAGAATCGACCCATCTTCCCCATCGCAGTAACCCAGTAGACGTTCGCCAAGACTCCGTAGATAACCTCCTCGTCCAGATCAAGTCGATCCTCTTGTGCCAGTTCATTGCCGTGTGCCCGAAACTCCATGAGTTCGTCGATTGTGGAGGGGGAGTTGGTTGGGCACGCGCGCATATGCAGCTCGTTTGAGGTCCCACGCATTGTCGTGTCCATCCACATCCATCAGTTAGCTTGAGTGGAATGAGTGGTCGAGGCCTTCAACGTCATGACAAAGTTGTTTCGTGTTCTCCCTGGGTTAATCTCCTTCTTGGCAAAGTCGGACCGCTTATCGGAGACTCGTCCAGCTCTCCTCCACAGTGAGTAGGCCAGCTTCTGAGTCATCTTGGACTTTTCGCGGACGTAGCCAAGCATCGTCATCAGCTCTTCCAACCGGGTCTCGGTAAAGTATCGTGAGTTGTCAACACAGCTGCGAGGGAGAACCACAAATAGACAAGGAAACAGCTTTTCAGCCGTCACCGCCGAATGCTCAGATGCAGGTCGAAGAAAGGAGAGTGTTCTCAGGAGCATCTGACCACGCCCCTCGGCTTCGGGCACGAAATTGAGCACCAGACTGAGCGAGATGATGTCAAACAACTCAGATTCGTCCTTCGGCAACGGCCGCTCCATGAAGTCTTGCTGCTTGATCCCTGGCTCTTGACTATTGAGGTCGATATGCTGCATGGAAAAGATGCCACTCGTCGAACACGCATTGCGCGTGCTCAATGCACCAACCTCCAACATGCTAAGGGGTTGGGAGCGCTTCTTGAGATCTGACACCGGCAGCCACTCGAGGAGAACTCTTGACGTGTCACCTCCTCTGTCGACACTCTGTCCCTGCAGACTCGCCTTTTGGTAGTGATCGAGGCCACCTAGCTTGGCGATTTCCGACGCAAGTCGAGACTCTGTGTCCTTGTCCCCCTTGGCCGCGGCCTGCCTCCTTTGCTTCTCGAGCTGGTGGTGTGTGTTGATGAGGGTCCTGCTGGCTTTCCTTGACATGGACCGAGAAGACTTGGCAGTTGGCGGACGACCGCTGGAAAGGCTTTTCAGCCTTGTCTGCTTCTTGGAGACCATTCTTCCCTTCAAGTTTAGAAGCCTGCTGTGTTGACCCTGAATTAGGGTTCAATCCCCTTGAATCTGAACGAAGATATCTGTTAGTCTCAGGGGAAAACTTGAATCAGATGTCTTGAACTCACTCTTCGGCAATACTGATGAGTCTCCTTCAAACAGTAAAGTCGTATGAAGTATGCGTCATTCCAATTGGAAAGACATATTGATCAATATGAAAATTGGCTACAGAAATTGAAGAACCCTTGCAGCTTAGCTCCCACCGGCCCTCAGTGTCGCAAACCTGTGATTACCTAACACAAGCGTGCTCAAAATTTCCCCTCGCTCTGATCACGTGGTTTTCACAGTCAAAGCCCCTTTGACCAATCAGACCCTCGCGTGCGTCAACCCTAATCGACAATCCACACAGAAGCTAAATTCATCTTTTTTCTCGCGCTCGTGAATTTGAACTTTTGATCAACCCCGACGACGACAACCAGCACCACCCGACAATCTTCGTGCTCACGACAACCCATCGACACAATGGCCGGCAAGGATACCAAGGGCAAGAAAGGTACGACATGATTTGAACGAAGCAAAAAGAGGGAGAAAGGAGAAAGAAGAGTTGGAACAAAAAAATATTCAAGAGGGAAACGGCGACGGGAATTCTTTTCGAAGCGATGCGATATTGGAAACGATAATCTCGATCGTCGATACGATACTATGGATTCTCGAGCCGAACTCCCGCCTTGAACATCTCTCTCTCTCCTCCTCCTCTCGAGCTTCAATACTCCTCTTCGCGCATCATGCAGCAGCAGACTTTGCGAGTTCTGAACAAGAGCGATTGCTGATGCTTCTTGTGATATAGCCCCCAAGGGCCTCTCTAAGGCCAACGCTGCCGCCAAGGCTGCTCTCAAGGGCGTAAGTTGAACAATCCTCACACAGGTGATTAACAGGTAACTAACCATCATCGCAGGCCAACTCCCACAAGAAGACCAAGGTCCGATACAGCACCTCGTTCCACCGCCCCAAGACCCTGGTCGTCTCGCGCACCCCCAAGTACCCCCGCAAGTCGATCCCCTCGCAGCCCCGTCTCGATGAGCACAAGATTGTCATCCACCCTCTCAACACCGAGAGCGCCATGAAGAAGATGGAGGAGAACAACACCCTCGTCTTCATCGTCGATGTCAAGGCCAACAAGGCCCAGATCAAGCTTGCCCTCAAGAAGCTCTACGACATTGACACCGTCAAGATCAACACTCTGATCCGGTATGTTTAACCACACGAATTTTCACAGCTTTTTGCTAATAGAGTCAAAGCCCCGACGGTTCCAAGAAGGCCTACGCCCGCCTTACCCCCGATGTCGACGCTCTCGACATTGCCGCCAACAAGCTCTCTCTCGTTTAAGAAAATTAAACGATGAATGGGCTTGTGGGTTCCTGGCGTGTCTTTGGGTTGGTTTTTGGTCTGCTGAAAAATGCGAGGCAATGGGCATCGGAAAATTAAGGCGTACAAAGAGCTTGTCGTTTAGAGTGCAAATGATCATGAATTCAAGGCCGCCCAGCACGCCGTGCCCGTTGGAATGAGAATTGTAACTGTGAAGAATATTGGTGTTGCGAGTGTCAGAGCAGTGCATGTGAAAAGTTGTGTTCTTGTCTATCATTATTGCCGAGTGTCATTCAACGTAGAGACGGTTGACCGTCAAGACGGACCAAGGCCAAAGCATGCCCAACACACCAGGCACATCCAACCGTAGTGTCTTCCCCTCATAATATACAAGGCCGTCCGTAAATCTCTTCAACCGACAAAGCCGAGCCAGTCCTGGCCATTGTCCATGACCCGTCTATTGTACAAACCCCTCCTCCTCTTGTTCCCAATACAAGGTCATTATTGCTCGTTTAGTTGCGCATGCCGTTCAGGTGCTTCATCGTGAGGTAGTTGACATCGAGGAATCGCTCGACGCAGTTGGCCAGGCACGTCTCCTCGCCCTTGTCCAGCTTGTTGTTCTTGATGCTGCCCTGGACGCACTTGTTCCAGCACATCTGGGTCAGGCTGTGAGTTTCTGCACAAATCAAGTCAGCATTTTGACCCTCTTCGCTTTTATTTCTCTTGTAGACGTACGGGCCTGGATCTGCGAGCGCTGCTGCTCGTTGGCGAGGAACTGGCGCAGCTCGTTGCGATCGTTGTCGCTGAGCTTCTCGAGGTCGGCATTGTCGATGGAGAGTTGGGTACTCATCTTGGCGGTTTTTATGTGCGGTGCGTGACGACGTGGACGGTGGACGAGAGAGAGGTTGTGTGCGAGTTGAAGACTTCTGTGAGTGTCGGTTCAAGATTTTCGATGATCGCAACGCTTGAAGCAGCTGACCAATAATGGACCGTGGAGGATGGACCCACCACTTGCTCCTCATGAGTAAGGCACTCCAAGATTGTATCAAGAGAGCACCAAGAGAAGATATTAAGCTGTTATTGGGTTGATCAATACCTAGATGGACAAGTCCGCTGAGTATATGTGCTGTTCCAATCTAATGCTCATATAAAAGTCTTGTCAACCTCCAACATCTTCACATCATGTCTCACAGGTCACACAATCAAATACACCAAGTATAACTCTATCAGTAACCTCTATTGACTAATTACTTAGGAATCATTATAATGATCCTGCCTAGAATACCCTTCTTCGCATGTCCATTTCTATACAGAACACGCCTTCAAGTATCTACACCAGTCTAATAAAGTCCAAAGAAACCTTGAAAGAATGCACGGCGCCTCAAAGACAACCCGATATAAACAACATCTAGATGTAGCGCTTCCACCGGGCAAGCAACATGAAGATGATGCAAAGGAAGACCATGAAGCTAATGATGCAAAAGAAGGCCGTCAGGTTACCAGGATCACCGAACGGAACCGGCACGTTCATTCCAAACACACCACTGACCAAGTTCAGAGGGACAAGTACCGAGGCCAAGAAGGTGATCTTGCTGAGAACCTCGTTGGTGTGCGTACCCTGCGCGATACTGTTGATCGAGACTGTCGCCAGGTAGTTGCTGTGTGCCCGGGACAAGATCTTTTCGAAGTGACCCAGGTTGGTAGCCATGGTCACAACGTGATCCTGAATGTCACCCAGGTACATGCCAATGTCCATTCGTGGAGTCACCTTGTAGTTTTCGTTGCATCGCTTGGTGAAACCACGGAGAACATCCGCCTTGCCACCCAGGAGCCGGAGCAGAGCCAAGCAGTTCTTGCGGGCGCGGCCAATGGACCGGAGGAATGAGTTGGAGTCGTCCTCACGCATGACGAACACCTCATCCTCGATAGCATCTGCCTCGAGCTCAATCTGGCGAATGACGGGGCCAAAAGAATCGACAATGTCGTCACTGTAGAGATGGTCAGACTAGTTTGTGTAACAGAGAAACGGCCGATACTTACATCAAAGCATAGCAGATCCAGTCACTGCTAAGAGAGACGTAATCCTTGAGGGCCGTAATTCTCTTGCGGACCTGAGCGGCGTGCGAGTTGGGCTCAAAGCTAAAGCTGAGCGTACCCTCCCGGAACACAATAACATATGTGTTGAAGGGCTCATACTCGATGCCATCAGGCTCCTGGACAACCGAGAAGGAGCGGAAGCAAGCAAAGTAGTACGACGGGAAGAGTTCAATCTTCTCGCGAGCCTCCTGCGTAATGATATCCTCAATGGTCAGGGGGTGGATACCAAAGGCCTTGCAAATGCTCTGGACCTCGTCCTTGGTGGCCGTGTTGACATTGAGCCACCACACACCATCTTCCTCATCTTCTGGAAGCTCGAAAAGCCCACGAATGTCCTCGCCAGGAAGCACGAGATCACCCATCTCGGCCGCATGGATAGTAGACTCCCATGCTGAAGAAAAGAAGCTGTACCGGTTGGGGTCAATCGGCGCAGCGTGATGCTTCTCAGAGACGAGCCCCTCGGCGTTGGTCTGAGCGGTCTGGTTCGTCTTCTCACGTGTCATAGAGTCTTCCGACAGTGGCTCCATAATATCTCCATCAATGGTCACCATCTGCTGTGCTCGAGACTGGAGCCGCTGATCCTCGAAGCTCTGGACTGAAGCTTGACGTTCAGCAGCCCTCTCGGCCGCACGCTCAGCAGCTTGCTCATTGATAAAGTTCTCGAGATAGTCAAAGTCGATGTAGAGCTGATCCTTGTGGTGGCTTTCTTTGACGGGGAAGCAGACGTCCTCTTCGGCAGTTCTATTGGTAGAGATGCTGGCATTGTCATTGTCGATAGTGTGAGGCTTGCTCCGGTAGCTGCGCTTGCTCGAGATGGACATGGCACGGCTCACAATATCCTCATTGTCGGGCCTGGACTCGGAGAAGGACATGTCTCGCTCTCGGCGACGGGCCTGAGCAAACGCCTTGACCGAGTTGGGTGGAGAGATGGAGCGGTCCGTAGAGTCCACAGTAGGTCGACGGCTGCGTCGAGTAGTCGGAGAAGCATCGCCGGCCTCTTCATCGATAATGGCCTCTTCGAAGTCGCGAACTCGGATGGCAGGGGGCGCAAGGGACTGGTTAGGCTCGCTCTCAAGATGTTGAGCACCGTATAGGCTGTCAAAGGTGCCACGGCGGGGACGCTCGACCCTCTGAGTCGAGACCGACTGGTTGCGGTGGTCGTCGAGCTCAGGGACGGGAGTTCCGTACCTAGGCATGACGGCGGATTCTTCGTGGTCAGACATTTTGACTTGATGTGATTGTTGCCTCAGGGGTATCAATGCCGATATGATGACGGTGTATCGTGGATGAAAGGGGGTTGATCCAGGGGAGGGAGGTTGGTGACGGACTCGAGATTATAGTCCCATAGCTTGATGATTATACTGGCGTCGTCTGCTCAAGTCGATTATAGACGTCGCACCCGGCGCGGCATGGGCGCGCCGCGTCTGGGTTTTGTTCAATGCGAAACTATGGCCCGGCGGGTGTCGCCAGTGGCCGCTGGTGGTGAACCGGGAGGATATATAGAAGCAGGAAGATGATGGTGTGGTAGTATCGAAAGACCAGTTATGGAGGCTTCTGGTTTACTCCGCTGTAGACCCAGAAGCTGGGACCGAAGAGCGAAGGGAGGGAGACGTTGGAAAAGGCGAGTTGAGCCAACTTGAAAACTTGAATCGAGATAGGCGAGACGCCGGTTATTCGAGATGATGTCGAGTGGCGTGGTCGAGGTGGTTGCGCAAGTCAACAACAATAGGAACGGTCGAGATAGAAACCGTTGGGGATTCGATGAGAGTAGTCTCTGGGAGAGAGCAAAGGTGCATCAGCCTAAGGGAGTCGGGCTGATTTTATTCTGTAACCAAGATTGTTTTTTTTCCCTCCTTGGGCCTGAACGGGGGAGAAGACGGGGCCGGGTGATGATGCTAGGGCCTCTCGTATGACGGTGCAGGGTTAAGGGCCAAGTTGGAATGGATGCCGGCGCGGCTAGGCCCGACGAGATTGGTTCTCGTTTCTGGTCGAGCGCAGCCGGTTCGAAGTGCTGTACTCAAAGAAAGAAGCTGGTTAAAACAACGAACACGAAGAATAAAAAATAACTCGTGTGTTGTTGAGAGCGACGAAGCGAGGGATGAGTTGGGTCAAGTTAAAGAGGAGTTGGGATGGGGTTCCTTAAAAAAAGAAGTGGGAAGGGCTAGTTTAGAAAGAAAAAAAATTGTCTCTGGTGGTGCCGGGGACCGAGTGGCCGATGGCGCCAATGACTATCACAAGCCGAAAGAGAGCTCTCGGGTTGGTCGAGAAGGAAGAAGGGGAGGCCGCCACTTCCCGAAATTAGGCACTTGTCCTGCAGGTTGAGAGCTTGGCCTGACTCCTCGTCCTTTGTTTGGTGTGTGTCGGCTCCTTCCCCGATTCTGGGAATGTCTGGGCGCGGCATGGAGCATGGATCCCGCATGGATTCTGCCATGGTTTGCAGTGGGCGCCACACAAAGACGTGCCAGAACTCGGGATTTACAGCGCTTCATGCGCCACATCAGGAACGCCTCAGGTAGTTGGATCCTGATAAGGTCCTGACAGACACGATAAGCAGCGGAGACGGCCTGATAAGATAGTGCCATTGGCCAGGCCGTACAGAACGGAGTCAGAGAAGGAGGTGGTACGTACCTCCGTTCTGGACCAGGCCAGGCTGTTAGCACCTGAGCTCCATCATTGCCAGGTAACTACTGTGCTGTAATTAGCAGCCAGCGTGGTCCCTCGATGATCCATTTCTCCATACCATCAAAGCAGCCATATCACGTCGCCAGCACGACAGAGCCAACCCAACCAGTCGCGGATCATCCATTGCAGCCGCTATCGCCTGACTCGCTTTCCACCGTCCGCCATTTTATCCAACCGACCAAAGCTTGTTTCTAGTCAGTTTCCTACAAGCGGCATAGTCACCGAACCTGTCTACAAAGGGCCAGCTGTCGACACCACAGCGTGACCATCACATTCTCGTCTCCCGATCGGAACTATCACGAGCCGTAGACTCCCGGAATACAGCCATGGCGGACCAGGTTCTTGACCAGCTGCGAGATGTCGTTGACGGCCAAATTGTATATCCCCCTTGTTGCTATGCTGGTCAACATTGGATCTAACTGAAGCTCCCCTGCAGGACTTTGAAGGTCAGAAGATCGCCGAGCTCCTTGCTACGGTTCTTCTCGTCATTTCGGGCGTATGTTCACTCTTCCCCCCCGTCTGATCCAACTGGTTGACTGACCCTACTCTAGATTCTCTCCTTCGTTGTCGGCTACGTCCTCCAGGATATCAAGCTCGCCGTCTACATAGGGCTGGGCGGCACTGCCCTGACCTTCCTCCTCGCAGTACCCCCGTGGCCATTCTACAACAAACACCCAGTCAAGTGGTTGCCAGCAGGTTACGCATACGATCTTGCGAGCAAGGGAAATCAATAAATTGGCTGGCCTGCCTCTGGCACGGCTGTGTCATCATGTCTAAAACTATCAAAGCTTGTCCATACTCTGTTGGCAGTTCTTTTTCCCGGCCAAGTCTTTTCCTTGCCGTCGTTGAATATGATGCTCGAATGTGTCGCTTTCTCTCTTCATCGTCCGTACTTCTGGAACTCCCAGTCTCTGTTGTCCAATGGGCAAACAGATCGGGCCTTTAGCCATCGTGAAATGCAGTGGAAATGGAAAGCATGCTAGATAATTGTCAGCCAATGTTGGTAGTAAGGTCGTAGAGTCATCTTACGTTGCAAATACCCCATGCCACAGTGCACTCCTCGCTAGTGGCAGACGCCTGGTTGGCCTGGCATTCAATGCCTGAGACTTGTTGTCAGCACATGCCCATGATCTCATGTAGAGGGTGTGGTGAGTCTTACAAAGGTCCATGATGTGGTTTCGGCAAATGGCGCAGTTGTCGACGACAATGTCCCAAGCCCAAAGAGCAACGGCATTCCACTATGCGGTTCCAGTCAGCATGACGCACAGCAAGACCATGCCTGGATGATGGGCTCGCATCATACCTTCTTGACCTCGAACTTCTTCCTGCCCTCGACAGCCTTGCTGCTGGAACCCTCGACCTTCTTGGCGACGGCGCCAGGCGCATCGCTCATCTCGACATCAGCCATGGTGAATGTAGGAGTCTAAGGTCGGTGTGGGTATATGGCGGTTGCGTCGGACGGGATACGGCGGCGCAGTTGGTCACTGATGATGGTCAGCACGAGACGTTTGTGCGCGACAGAATTCAGCGAGCGTCGTGAAGAGGAGTAGGTAGTCAAGGCTAGGGTTGCGGTCGAGAAATCGAGGTGGAGGACGTACGAGCTGAGCTGATAGACAGGTAAATGCTATGGACTGTGAAGGCCTGCCTGCAGTTGTTAGAAGCAAGAACCTGAAAGAAATGCGGGCGAAGGTGACTGCTGAATAAAGGAGCACCTTGATGGTGCAGAAATAAAGGGAGACTTACAGCTGCTTATATGTTCGGCCGAAGTGATGATGCGGCTCAGAAGATGGACGAAAGGCTGGAAGTGGGATGGAGAGCTAGGCAGCTAGGCAGAGATCCATCCACTCCGATCCGGTATCGTTGGTTCCAGTGTTGGCCGCCTCAGTCACAACGGGCGGGCAGCCCGTGTCAGCCGCCAACTCATCATTGAGTCCCCTGTAATTATAGGGCATTTACAGAGAGGGGTCCTCGTCCTCCAGCCTTGCAGCCAAACACTTCAATGGCGGGGTGATGATGACCTAAGCATTCTGGATGGTCTGGATGGGCGGCCAGGCCGATCGTGGTCGGGAAGCATTAACCGTCGCTTATCGGGTTTTGATAAAACGTTAGGTTGCTTCTCTCGAAGACGCCACCAAAGAGTTGAGTTTGATTCACGCATAATTGTTAGGAATATTCTTCCGTTGAGGGGACCTTCTAGAAATTCAATACAGTTAATCTCAAAGCTTGAGCCTGATCAACCCCAAATTCTTCCATGGATACCCGGTCGTCGCTGAGTTTTTCTCGCTGTTTGCGTCAGGTGCGGATTCTGCTTAGGTCGTGTACCCAATCGCTACCCTGTTGGGCGCCTGGGCGGACACTGCTTTCGCTGCGTTGGTAGGTGCGTGCTTCGCCTCGCCCTGTCACAGGCTCTGAAGCGCCTCAGGCGCCCACTCACGTCCCTTGTTTCCCGTCCCGCAGCAGGCCAGTCTTGTTTCTCTCCCTCCCACACCACCCAGCGAGCGTCATCGCCTCTTCCTTATTAACTCGCCCTCCCGTCTTTGCTTCCCCCCTCATTACTCATTCCTGGACTTATCTTGCCTCGCGCGCACCATGATCAGACTAGACACTTCTTTCTTCAGGATAACTGCTTTCTATTCAATCGTCACACCTGCTTCCTATTCTTCACATCTTTCAGATAATCCACCCGGATCTTAATTCGTCGTCTTCTTTTTCGCGCCTGTCGCAATCCGTCGCAACCGCCCTCGACAGTTTCGGTTTCGTCTCACCCTTTTTCTTCCCCCTCACGCCCCGGCCGACGCCTTTGACGACTCATACGTCGCCACCAACACCATGAGTGAGACTCCATCTCAGCCAACAACCACACCCGCGCGCCGTAGGCAGGGTCGCGGGAACGGTCGCCCTGCCGGCCACAAAGCCTACGCCTCGGAGAATGATGTCGTCAACCTCGACCCTTCTCGCTATGAACGTGGTCCACGAACTCCTCAGAAAGGTGCTGGCATGGATTCTCCCGCTGCCCAATCCAATCACACCTACTCTAAGCAGCGATCTCGGAGCAACAACAATAACAACCATCACGGCAACAACAACAATCATAACAACAACAACAAGCCTCGGAACAACAAGAACTCTCCCAACTCGCCAGACTCTGCCCGTCCCGGTCGCCGTACTCCTCCGAATCAATCATCCATGAAGTCGACTGCTGGCCCTGCTTTCGCCGGAGCAACCTTCCACGCATCTCCCGCTCCATCCGCCCTTCCGCTTCCCAGCTTCGTCACCCGATCGTCAATGGAATCGCCCAGTGCCAACAGGACCTTGGAAGATGCTGTCCAGGAGCCTTCTCCTCCCAGCTCTAATGCACCCACTCCTTTGCAGCAACCCTCTTCTGCTGCCAAGGGATCTCCTCTCGACTTCATGTTCCGTGCTCATCGTGAAGAGAAGGAGCGCCAGCGCAGTGGCAGTTCTGTCAGCTTCCGACCTTCTGGCCTTGCTCACGATTCGCCTTCTTCTCAATCTCCATTCGAACCTGGCAGTGTTCCTAAGCCAGCAACTCTTCCGCAAACGGCTCGTACTCAGGCCCGATACAATGGTCCCATCGACAGCGCCGACCTAAACGCAACACCCGGCCAGCCCATGGGCCCGGCCTTCTCAACACCTTATCAAGAGCGTATCAAGGCAGCTCGCTCAAACTCTGCGCGAACCCCTGCTACGCTGGGCTCTTCACCCTCTCTGCCAAGGTCTCAGTCTCACCCTGAATCAGACGACCCTACTGAGGCCCTCAAGAAGTTCCTGTTCGGATCAAACGGTGCCTCTGCGGCCAAGACTCTCCCTAACGGTTTCTCTTCTGCCCCTCCTTCTCAGCCATTCAACCATCCCCGTAGCGGACCTGGTGCACCGGTTCCTTACGAGGGCCGTCCCAATAATCTGCGGGCTATGGAGGATGATCTTCGACGTATTCTCAAACTTGACTTGGCGGCTGGATCTTCAGGCCAAAACCCACGTCTATTTTCCTAGACTCTCTACACACACACACCATCATTCTGGGCGTTTGACGGTTCAGGGGTTTTCATTACTCCTTTTACATCTCTTTTCGACTGACGGCAGTCCTCTGACCAGACGGCATCAACGGAACGCGATATATGACGACGGTGTTTCTCGTCACATGACAGGGGAGAATCGGCTTTGTCTCTTGGACTTGGGCGTTTCAAGGATTCAAGACATATCGGACGGAGTGTCGGGTTAGGCTTTGTGATTCAGCTATGGGATACCTCGGAGTCATCTACTGATTTTTCTTTTACTGCTGTCTCAGACTATGCTCTTAAGGAAGAGTTTACAGATCGAGACGGTGGGTTGTTTATATCGAGGGAGCCTGGATGTACATTTGGGATGTGCGGGTTGTATCACGATCAATCATTTGCTCCTTGGACTGTTTTTGACGATACCCAAGGGTTTTTTCTTTTTCAGTTCATATGAAAGCATGGCGGATAGGGAGGATGGAGCGAGATGTTGGCAGTAAGGACGTTTTTTGGCATCTAGTATGAGGCGCGTTGCTAGCGATGATTACTGGTAGTTGATGAATCTCATGATGCGTTGCCCAGCAACTGTAGAGTGACATGTTCCGCAATGAAGTAACAGTAAAGTTGCAAGTCTAATGTGAGATTTACTTTATTGTTGGCATGTACAACAGTATCAAGCTCTTTGGTTTGGTTGGGGTGTAATTTGTAGAGGCAGGAGACTTGGAAGCAACTCAGTTAACGGTGAGATCAACCCAGCAGGGATACACAACAGCAGCGAGACGCCCATGACCCCATGGGCATAACCAGATCTGAAGATTAGCTCTATCACTTCTTGGACTTCTGCCTCCTCTTTTCCTCTCGCGAATACATCATCCCATGAGAAAGAAGCAGATACTTGGAAAAGAAGTCCTCAGCAAAGTCGTCAAACTTGACATAGTCGGCACCGAGATGGTAGGCTGCTGCGATACCACTAACACAAGCAAGTTCGTGCATGTTCTAGAACCATCTGTCAGTTTCTAAAGTCAGACATAGAGTTGGGAGAACATACAACCAATGCCCAGGAGCCAGCAAAGAAGGTGCTCTGCTTGCCGTGCAGAAACATCATTCCCGGGACGACACGCAGGTAATGCTGCCACCTATGTCCTAGCTGATGCCACCAGTTCTTCTTGATGATCTTGGACTCGTCGATCTTGTCAATCGTCCACTTGTCACGCTCCTGGCTGTTTAGGAAGATGGTCTGGTACACGGGCTCATACGCATCCCCAGATTCGAGGTTTGCCTTTTTGAGCTGGTGCTGATAGTTGCTGCAGTTGAAAGACATCTCAATCTTCTTGGGATCCTGAGGATACGTATACGTGTAGTACATGGGTCGGAATCCGTTGGAATCGCCCTCACCCTTGGAGAAGGACACCTGTTTCTTCTGGTCATCCGACTTGGGCTCGGCGCAGAGATTAGGTTTGAAGTGGGTTTCGTAGTGCTCCTCGAAGTACTTGGAATCAGAGTGAGTAATGGTAATATCGTCGTAGAAAGCTGCGCCTCCAAGGACGAACTTTTCACGCATGGTGGCCGTCTTGCCCAGGAGGTTGAGGGCAGTGTCTGCAAGAACGCAGAGGACCATGCCATCGAATGACTCCTCGGTGACCTCCTCGGTCTTGCTGTTCTTGATTCGGAGCTTGACACTATTCTTGGATCTCTGCAACACTGCCTCGACCTCAGTGTTGGTCCTGACATCGGCGCCCTTACTCAACAGATCATCCTTCCATTTCTTGTAGAACTCGTGGAGATTATCAAAAGTGACCATCTTTGGCAAGTTAGGCAACAATGTCTCCGAGTCGTAGTCCCACAGCTTCATGTTGGGGTCATCAAACAACCGCTCTACAATGGCCGAAGGGACATTGGCAGTCTGGTTCCCGGTGCCGAGGAAGAGGGCGATGAGGGGGTACACCATCTTGTCGCCAAACTCCTTGCTGAAGAAGAAGAGCCGCATCATGACTCTAATGGGGATAAGGCCGAAAACCGGCATGGTCCACTTGATGAATTTGAGGAAGAAGCCGAACCGCTTGATGTCGGACGAGAACTGGGAGATGAGATTGCTGGGGAAGCAGTTGGTCCAGAAGCGATCTTCCCCCTTGCCGAACGAGACCTGCAGCTCGACCTCCTCTGGTGGGTGGCCATGCTGCTCGAAGAAGTTGAAGGTGTGCTTGAAAATCTGAACAGCATGTTAGTACCACCGATACCTGATGAGGTCATTGTAACTGACCGGAGAACCGCCTTGCACCCCATTGTTCATCCAGGCAGCACCGTATCGTTCCTCGTCGAGAGGGATTGAGGTTGCCTGACCTCCCACAACATCGCAGGCCTCAAGCACAGTGACCTTGAATTTGTTGGGGTGGTTCATGAGAGTGGCGGCACATGACTGTTGCTCGGTCAGTTGGTGTTGATGGCTTACAGCATGGGTTAGGTAATTCATCACTCACCATGCCGGCCGCCCCCGCGCCGACAACCACGATATGCTTTTTATCGCTGCTCATACTTGCAGATTGAGGTCACGGAGATATTAACGGTGAGATTAATGGATGCAAAAGACCGTGGTGGCACAGCGACCGAGATATAAAGCCGGATGGCGTCGTGGACGTCATTGACTCTGATCCAGCCTTGTAACATGATCGGAGCCACCATGCAAGGAATTATCCACATCTCGGAGGCACCGCGGGTCATAGACTGCAGCCATTGTATCTGGTGACCAGAAGGACCTGATTGAGGGTAACTGTGACAAGAGGCCACGCTGTGATATCGAGGCTGTGATATTTACGACATTCATGTCGCATCCCGCGTCTTCTGTAGGGTAGCTCAAACATCACCTGCCTCCCTTTGACAAGGATCATGGGCGACACGATGGCACGTGACCTCGCGTTGTGTAACATTAAGATGAATGTGAATGCAGGGATCCTGACGTAGCAAGCCTCGTCTCGACTTTAAACGACGACATCCGTTTTGATTAAGCCATCCAAATTCAAAAATTACACTCGATAACCGTCGCCCAAACCCACAAACTCAGTTGACTTCATCCAAAGCTCTTTGCCTTCAGGAACCAACGCTGGAGCCGAAACTGGACGGGATGACTGGATCCCGCCAAGATGTCCCCGACCCGGGGAGCGACATGGACGAGGACGAGGCGCTGCGCTATGCCATCGCCCTCTCGCTTCAGGAACAGGAGAACCAAGATCAGCAAACATCACCCCAGGTCCCACCCGCATCAGCTTCTTCAGCTTCATCCAGCCGCCGGAACGGGACTGGTTCGGGCGGGGCCTCGTTCGGCCTCCTCTCGCTCGATCGCAAGAAGATGGAACAGGAAAGGCTGCAGAGGTTGGCCAAGCGGCGCCGCTCCCCTTTGGACGAAGACGACGACGACGTTGTAGAGGTTCCACCGCCCAAGAGAAGGACGCCCGTCGAACCGTCTAGGTCTCTGCCCGGGCCATGGTCCCCGAGCTCGCCGCCGTTTCCAGGCGGTGTCGTCAAGCGGACTTGGGCGAGGGGATATCCACGCACTTCCGAGGACATCAAGATCGAGGAGGTGTTTCAGAAAGATAGGCTGGAGCTTGCCGTCCTCAGCTCATACCAGTGGGACGACGAGTGGCTTCTATCAAAGATCGACCTCAGGAGGACCAAGTTGCTGCTCGTGGCATCTGCGGCAGACGAATCCCAGGTGTGTGTCAATCACGACTGACTCGAGGTTCTCCCCCTTTGGGAATTCGTGACACGGGACAAGACCTGGAGGCTGACGACGGACCCTGCCACAGAAGAGAGAAATGCAATCCAACACGCCACCGGGCATCAGGTTCTGCTTCCCGGCCATGAATGGGCCCGGGGCGATGCATTCCAAGCTCCAGCTGCTCAAGTATCCCGACTACCTCAGAGTGGTAGTACCCACTGCGAATCTGGTCCCCTACGACTGGGGCGAGACTGGCGTCATGGAGAACGTTGGTAGCTGAACGAGGCTGCGCCTACCGGGGCGCCCTTGAGCATGATTTGCTGACCAGATCTCTCCAGATGGTCTTTTTGATCGATCTCCCCAAGCTAGAGGCCTCGGTCGACCACCAACCAACCCATTTCAGTACCGAGCTCGGCCGATTCCTGTCAGAGACCGGTGTTGGTGCGGGCATGGTCAGCAGCCTCAGCAACTACGATTTCTCAAGGACGAAGCACTTGGGGTTTGTGTACACCATGTAAGCCCGAGCAAACCCGCGATGAACCGCCAGCCAGTCAACCAGTCAGTTCAGTCACTCACTTGTGATGTGACCTGACATGGCTTGGGCGGACCCCACATGAATGATGAATGATGCGCTGATTGCGGAATTCCAGCCCAGGAGGTCATGTTGGTGATTCTCTCAAGCGAATAGGTGAGTTGACAGGTCTTTTCTGGCGAGATTCTGTGTAACAGTGGCTCACATGGTGGTCGTCGTCTCCGAATAGGATACTGCGGACTCGGCAACAGTGTGGCTTCTCTCGGGCTAGCCACCGACGACCCCGTCGAGGTGGACATGGTGGTGGGTGCCGTCGCTGCCGCCGCCGAATGGCGATTCGAATGAGCAAATCACTAAGAACCATTGGACCAGTGCGCATCTCTTGGATCCCTCAACTACGACTTGGTGGGCGCAATGTACAACGCCTGTAGAGGTAAGGAGGCACCTCTATTTTACCCAGATACTGTGCCATGCACCGCGCTGCACTGCACTGCAATGCACTGCGCTGCACCCCTCATCCCCTTCCCGACTGACTCCACCCCACACATGGCCCTTGGATCGCCGCGATGTGGACTGACGGAGACGGATGGCCTGACGCGCGACATAGGAGACGATGGCATGGCCGAGTACAAGTCGAGGATAGGCCGAACGGGCGCAGCAGCCAAGAACAAGTCGTCAAGCCCATGGGCAGCCAAGCTAAAGGACCGTTTCCGAATCTATTTTCCGACAGACGAGACGGTGGCCCAGAGTCGAGGAGGACGAATGGTGAGTTTAGTTTCTGCCCGTCTTGTTTGCAGATCGGGAAAAACTGGAGAATCCTCACATGCAAACAAATGACGAGAGCAAGAGGTGCTGCAATCAGTAACTACAGTATGTGCGCTAACACAAGAGGCGCGGGATGCAGGCTGCGGGCACCATCTGCGTCCAGCCCAAGTGGTGGCGCTCGCCGACCTTCCCCACCGAACTGGTGCGGGACTGTGTGAACACTCGGGAGGGACTCTTGATGCACAGCAAGATGATCTTTGTGCGACGGATCCCCAAGAGTACGGAAGCGGAAGATGGAGACGGAGCTGGGCAGTCCAGTGCGGAGCCGCGACTGGGCAAAAGACGCGGACAGCATGAGCCGGATCACCATGATGAAAATGATGATTCAGCGGAACTGAATGCGGCGGTGCTATCTCCGGGTTGGGCGTATGTGGGCAGCGCAAATCTGTCGGAGAGCGCGTGGTGAGTGAGACCCTTTTTTTTCTTAATCCCTAACCCCCTTTGTGAGACATGGGGGAAACATGAGACAACGAGACACCAAGCGACATCCATCCACGGACGGTGCGATGGTGCCGTGGTGGAGCGCCCTACGAACTAGCTAGAGAGTCTTGGGAACGACTTAGACGGAACGGTGACGAGTGTATGAATCTGACGCTGACGGGTTGCGGCCGCGATGCGCCAAACAGGGGCCGCATAGTCAAGGACCGAGCGACAGGGCAGCCCAAGATGAGCTGTCGCAATTGGGAGAGCGGCGTTGTGGTGCGGGTGAGCAGCCGCAACAGCAGTAGCAGCAGCAGCAGCGGCATTAGCAGTAGAGGCACCACCAACAGCATGGGCCGCGCCAACGCCAACGCCGGCAGCACCAGCAGCACCAGCAGCACCAGCAGCAAGAACCGCCAGAGCAGTGCCGTCCTCGTCAGCTTGAGTGGTGGCAGCACCGAGGTCAAGGCGGCGGAGGCCCAGGCACGCGTGCAGGCGGGGAACCCATCGGGCGAGCCGGACAAGGGAGGCGATACGAGCCATACCCAGCAGCAGCAGGTCACGGACATGGGCATATTTGATGGGACGGTTCCAGTCCCGGTGCGAGTGCCAGGGCGACGCTACCGAGCAGGCGAAGAGCCCTGGTTTTACAGTGGCCAGGGCTGAGTGACGAGGGCGGCGCGGGCGCATGTATTGGCCATTTTGGACCACCACGACGTCGATGAAGATGCTGATGCTTGCGTCTGATACCATTTTTGATGTTGTTGTTGGCCTTTGCGCTGCGACTGCGCCATTTCACCTCACCAGTAGAGCACGGGGCATTTGGAGAGAATGCATGTGAATGAAGGTGTATGGGTAGGGTACTGTAATGTACTGTAATGGGTATGGGTAGTGTAGAATGGACAGATTGTAGATTGGTCAAGGAGGGGGGATTTCGGCTGATTGTTGTCGTTATGACGATGATGGTGATTGTGGTGATGCTGACGATGTTGTCGAGTCTTGGAATATCTGTCGCTGAAGGCTGGCGCAGACGCTGGCTGGCTGGCTTGCCGGACGACTCTCACTCAGCAAGAAGTGGCATGTATCATAACTGCTAGCTAGGGGACTTGCTAAGGCACGAAGACGTAATTGTTGAGCTATCTCGATTGTGTGTCATGCCAAGATGGGAGTTGGTAGAAGAGCCGTGGGACCGGGGGAGGGGGGGGGGCGGCGCAGCGCAGTAGCAGCAGCTGTGGGAGCACGCAGAAGAGTCGGATGGCGGGCTTTCCAGCTCGGTATGTAACGGACGGACACTATCAAGAGTGCGGCCGGTACAGTGTTGTCGGAGCCTGACACGGTAGATGCCTGTTACGGTAGAGGGAGACGGACAGAGACGGGCTTCGATAGAGTGCTGTATTAGAAAGCCAATTGGAGAATCCCACCCAATGGCAAGCTGAAATCCCGCCTCGTCGGCTCTCCCACCTTGGGCCCTTGCACGGTTCCCGGGGCCCTTGCTCTGCTGCTCTGTGTCTCTCTGCCTTGATGAACCGAAACCGAACGAGGGGGAGAAGGAGAGGGAGAGGGGAGCCATGCTATGCCGTGCCGTGGGCCATGGATGCCATGGAGGGGGAGCATGAACAAGGACAAGGGGGGGTGGGAACCCAAGCCAAGCCAAGCCTCCAAGGCAAAGAGAAAGAGGACGACGAAAAGATGGGGATGGGCCAGGCGTCCAATGGCGGAACGAGGCAGAGATGGTCTGCAGGACGGCAGAGGCAAAAGGCCAATCCAAGGGCCAGAAAAGGTACCAAAGAAACTAGGGACGGGTGGGGGCCGCTAAGAGCTCCCCAAGAGCGACGATACAGGCACCAAAGCCAATGCCGGAGGAAGATGCATGCCAGACGGGGATGGAGGAGCTGGGAGGGTGTCATGGCATGGACCGTGGGTTAATGGGAATCTCCTTGTCCTGGTGTAGGTGTACGTACCATCCTGGTCGTGATGTCGGACCTACAAGTGTGGTTCTTCACAAGCCAAAAAAAGAAAGGTCATCATTACTGGCCCTGCGTGCCCTGCAAGGTGTGGTATCACAAGACAAGGCGCTAGAAGGAAAAAAGAGAGAGACGCTCAAAGGAACAGGGTAAGGCAAGGCGACGCCGACAAGGCAAAGACAAGGAATAACACAGCACAGAGTAGACAGCCCAGGGAACAAGGATTCGGCACGGCATCCTTGTATGAAAACGGGTGGGAATCAGCAGCTAAAATAAATTACGGCTTCTTCCTTTTATGTCTCTGCTCGTTTTTGTTTGATGGATTAAAAAAAAAAAAGATGGGGGGTCAATCCCAATTACATTACATCACGTATAGTATGGTCCTAGATGCGACTGTAGTTCATGTCGATTAAGGCTGGAAGGGGGGGGGGGAACATCCCATCCCATGGACATGGAAGGACTGGGAACTTTTGGCAGTCGATTCGAGCCCAGCCCAGCATCTGCCCCCATCTCTGTCGAAAGTCGTACGTACGTACGTCTCCATCTGTTTGATGAGGCGCAATCTGCATAAGGCTCCTTGATCATCTTGGGGTGAATTGAGCTAGAGTCTTGTCTGTCGTCTCACGCACGTGCTTGGAACCTGATGCGCCCTCCCCCTCCCTCACTTTTGAGAACCCAACGGTGCCCAGGATTATTACTTAGTAGTTGCTGCTTGTGTGTTCAATACTGGACATAATTAAAATGAATCAACTGTCAAAATGTTTGATAATAATTATATTTTACACGATCAAAAAGCAAATGGGAATAAAGTAGGGAAACAGAGACCGTTGTGAAACTCTGAAATCGGGGAGATGGAGATCGAGCCCTACGGACCGACGATGGATGCTTTCGTCAACGGGACTGGGCTACTAGACTGTCCGGGCTTCCAGCTACTGCTACATAGCTACGTACGCACGTATTCATCTGTGACGCCTGTCTGACCCTCGTTGACCCATGACCCATGACAAATTCGGGAACCCCAGGTCGTCACAAACGATGGCAGGAGGAGCACGAGCCATTTTGCTACAGAGAAAAAAACGAAGATGAAAAAAGATTAGGGGATTCTAACCCGAGACAGCGTCACGGTCGGGGTGGTGTTGAAGACCGGCGTCGGACGCCTCGGCCGTCTCCGGGGCTCCGGGCGGGGGATTTCATGGGTGGGCGCCAGCCACCTTTTTGGGACATTCTGATCGTGTTTGTCAGAAACGACGACGACGATGGGATGCGTGATGTGTGATGTGCAAAGTGCGAGGACGACGCGGCCATTCTCTCACAGCCCTCTTCGGCGCCGACGGCCACCCGGGCTTGTTTGCTGTGCTGTGCTATACCATGCCCTGCCATGCTGCCATGCCTGCTTGCTTGGTGCCCGTTTTCCAAATCCATCATGGTCATAGCAATCCATGGGAGACGGGGCTGCTGGTACTGGTGCTGCTGGTGCGCGCGGAGGTCACGGCGATGGCGTGCCTTGGAATTGTGGCGTCCAGGGCACCCCAGGCAAGAAAAAGAGCCGACCAGGAGTCGACGAGGCTCGGCAGTGACAAGACGAGGTTCTCTTTTGGTTGGGGGTGTGCTTTGGCCCTTTTTGGGTGGATCTATGGGAGGACAGAAAGAGAGAGGGAGAGGGAGAGGGATAAGTCACAGGTCAAAGCGATAATGGCCGGAAACAGCTTTTGTTCAAATGTTGAGAAAATCCTTTCTTTCGTCTCATCTCTCGGCCGAATTGCTAAGCGGAACATGATAAGTAAAAGAAGCGTGACACATCTGACCGAGATGAACATGACCTTGGGGTTGCGAATGAATCAAATCAAAATCCCAAAGCTGCCGTCCGTGTAAGAGCAAAGGCCCTGAACTGATGGGGGTGAAACGAACGCGTAGAGGCGCAAAGCCACTGCAGACAGGAGCTCTCGCGGTGCGCCAGAGGTGCATCAAGGAGGGGCGTGCATCTCAGACGCAGGGGGGAGTGTGCAGAGGAGGAAACGCCAAGCTCCAGCCACAGCAGCCACGCATTGTCACCCAGAAAGGCTTAGCGGTCCCTCATCTGGGGGTGCAGTCCCACCAGAATTGGCACGCCGGGACCTGCCAAGTACCTTGTCGTCGGTACTGCGAGATGGGAAAGGATGAGGGCCGATGGGTAGTAGAAGGGAAAGGATCCATGAAGACGACGCGAGTCCAGTTACCAAAAAAAAAAAAAAAAAAGGCGAGAACGAGATTCACTCTCCACCCCCTAGGTCTAAAAGCGAGGTCACGGTGAGAATTAGAAACCCGAAAGAGAGGGGGAAGGAGATGATGAGGAGGAGGAGAGAGGCGGGGGTGCAACAAGAGAGAGGGAAAGGGCAAGGCAAGGCAAGGCAAAGGCACCACTTTGCCTGGCCTAGTCCGAATAGACTACGCGCGCGCAACAAGGACCCTCGAGGAGAGAGAGCACGGATACGTAAAGACCAAGGCCGCAAGCAGTCTAGGGGAGGGGGAGGATAGAGAGGACACTGAACGAATATCGCGGCGACGGACGGACGAACGATGGATGGATGGATGGATCGCTCCATGTTCGCTGGCTCGTTCGGTACATCTGAACAGCCCAAATCAATTCCCGTCCACCACTGGCACACGCCTACCTACGCCTGGGCTGGCTTGGGCTGTGGAGTGGAGGTAGGTAGGTACTCTCTGAGCGCCGCCCCACAAGAGCCGCCGCAGTCCCGTCCCAGTAAGTCAAGTCCCAGGCCAAGCAAAGCAAGGTCCCGGGCTGCCAATCCATCCACCATCATCGTCTCCATCATGGCTCCCGGAGCTATTCGCGCAGCAAACACACTTTTTGCTTCGGACCGCAGCCCAAGCTGCATCTCAGTAACCTCGTGGCCGAGATCAAGATGCAGACATGCAGGAACAAAGATCAGATGACATATAGGCCGCTGTGACTCAGTATTTCTCAACCGTGAAAAAAAGAAATCGTTGGGAAGTTGCTTTCATGGCGCATTGCGGGTGTGGTGTTTTTTTATCTCCTCCTCAAGTCGACTTGCGGCAGTCACAGTCTATATAAGGTACGGACCCCCCTTCCTCTCTTCCCCACACCAACTCCATTACATCCAACCTCCAAACTCAACTCTCTTCCCAACTTCTCTCCAGAGATAATTGGAACAGCTCTATTTGAACTCTTATTTCAATTACCTGAACCCAATACCCAGCGACAGACGACTGAAGTAGTACAGCACAACAGTGCTCTACCCTCATATTGCTACACCCCCCCCAAGGCGCCCTGCCTTTTACCTCTTCTCCTTCTCTCTCCTCTACTCCATCTTGTCCTCGTCCAGTCCTCTCCACAATGAGCAGTACACTGCTACCCACATACGTGGGGTACATCCACTCAACTCTCGATGCCCTCATCATCTTCGAGGCCTGTCTGTCAGGTGCACGCAATCACGTCCCACGACGACCACAAGATCGAGAACGACAAGAGCTCATCAGAAGCGGGAATGTATTCATTTACGAGGAGCACGCCTCAGGAATCAAGCGCTGGACAGACGGAGTCTCATGGAGCCCAAGCCGCATACTAGACAACTTCCTCGTCTACCGCGAGCTCGAGCGGCCCTTTGGCCCAGGCGAGAAGAAGCGCGCCCTCAAGAAGCCCAAGAAGATGAGCAACGGCATCACAAAGACCGAGTCGCGATGCGAGACTAGAGACGACGACCGTGCTCTGATCGGCTCTCTGGTGGACTCGTACGACTTCAAGCAGTCGGGCCTGGTCAAGAAGACAATCAGCATAACCTTCCAGGGTGTCCCCCACCACCTGGTGAGCTACTACACATGCGAGGATGTCAAGTCAGGCCGCCTCACCTGTCCTTCTCAGCATCCGGACCTCCGGAACCTCATCCCTCGCAGCGAGCTCCTCATGTCGCAAAACTTCCGTGCGCCCATCGATGGCACCGACACGGCGACTGACGAGCGCTACCAGAACCAAGTGCTCGTGGACTATGGTTACAACACATCTATGCAACAAGTGCCCCCAATGATGTCGAATTACCACATGGGCTACTATTACGCACAAGGCCAGCTGCCGCCTATCCACATGCAACAACAACAGCAGCAGCATCACCATCAACATCATCAACATCATCCACATCAACAACCACCACCTCAACAACACGAACCACAACAGCTCATGTCGCCAACACACCTGCAGCATTTGCAACAGCAACAGCAGCAGCAGCAACAACACCATCACTCACAACAACAGGCATATGTAACATTGCCTCCCAATCCGCACCTCCCAACATTTTCCTATATGCCCGAGATTTCGGGCATTGACACTTCAAATATGGATAACTCAAATCTCTTCTAAAAGCCCAGTTTAGTATTAGGTATCAATCAAATTAATAAAGAAGATCCAAAAAATCATGGGAGTGCTGGCACTAGACTACTACGTAGTAGATCCAAGTGGCGCCCATGACTTGGAGATGGATTCAAAGTTTCAGAGTTCCCTACAGGCTACCCGTGTGTTCCGCAACCTTGTCGTAGGCAGTTGTTAGTAATCAGCTAGAGGCGTGATGAAATGTGAAACAGGCCCCTGGACTCCATGTCAAATCGATAACCTTGCGAACCTATGCAAGCCAATCATTGATTAACTCTGGGCAGCGGATGTCTGATGTGCCAAGTTGGGGGTTTGTGTCCCAATAAGGTTATGCTCTGCCAATCCTCGGTTATGTGTTGGGATAAATGTCCGGTAGTAACCTTCTAGAAGGGAAATGGATCAAGTACGGAATGCAAACGTTTTTGATCATAATCTTGATGTTTTACCTGTTTGCAAGTGGTGAATACCCAAGGAATACCCAACATGGTGGTGTGTGCAACCATCACTCTCATATTGCTCCCGTGCACGGTGCCTGTCAGTTCACCTTTGCTAATCTCGACTCTATACGAAAAGGAAAAAGAGGTGACGTTGACCCTAGCCAAAACCATCTCTTGGCTCGAGCAGTTGCAAATCTCTGGAGAAAGAAGGGGGACCGCCGCGTTCGGTTTTAAAACAAAAGGGGTCTCCGTGTGCGGCACAGAAAAAAAATATCCCATCTCGGCTCCGGGAGTGGGAGAGATGGCTACCCGGATCCCTGTGCCGTGGTTCCCGCGGACTTGGTGGGAGGACCCCACACCCCGTCCGGCGAGTGCCGAGAAGGTATTTGTATTTTGGCCGTGGGGCTCGAAAAAGATGCGATTGGAGAGCACGTGCTTTCTTGACAGCGGACGTAGAGGTACGTACACAACTGTCCGGGGTGGACAAGGCCGCTAACGGGGGGAGTTAGGAGTTTTTTACGTAGCCAATCGACAGATGCGCAAAAAAAACAGTTACAGGAAGAAGATCGGTCGGTTCGGAATTGGGCAACCGAACTCGCCCTTCTCTCCAATTACAATCCTTTTGACTGTTTTGTTCTTGACGGTGTAGACGTCTAGATGCTGCTGTCTGCGAGGCTGGCTGGGCGGGCGGCGACGGTTGGTAGGTGCTCGCCTGTTGGGTTGAGGTTTGCGACGACGTCAGGGCCGAGGAGGTTGTTCTTTACAAAGTCGCAAGCTTGGTTGGAGCAAAAGACCAAGGAGAGTGTTGAGTAAGTTTTATGTCTGTTAATAGAGATGTCAGACTAACTTGTTGATAGACCAGCACCCCTCCAGAACAAGACTCCTCCTCCAACGAAACGCCCGGCCGTCCTCCACGAAGACATCTACACGATCCCCAACATCCTCACGTTTACACGACTCATTGCTGCCCCCGCAATTGGATATCTCGTACTACATGATCAACACGCCTGGGCTGTGGGACTGTTTGCCTATGCTGGAGTTACAGACCTGCTGGATGGATGGATCGCACGACGGTGGAACAGCAAGACGGTCGTGGGGACTGTTATCGACCCCATGGCGGATAAGACGCTCATGACGATATTGACCGTGTGTCTCGCTATCAAGGGAGCCCTGCCGAGTATGCTATATCATACATCACATATCATTGAAACGAAACAAACTGACACTTGCATAGTCTGGGTCGCTACCGTCATTCTCGGTCGAGATGTAGGACTCGCCATCTCAGCCATCTACTACCGCTGGATTTCACTCCCACCTCCAAAGACATTTGCCAGATACTGGGATTTCTCACTTCCCTCGGCTGAAGTGCGTCCTACAACCATCAGCAAGTACAACACCTTTTTGCAACTTGCTCTCGTCGGAGTCACGACAGCCGCACCACTCGTGGGAACAGATCTAACACCCGCATTGACGATAATGCAGTAAGTCCAAATAATTCTAACCTGTGTTGCTGAAACTGACAGTGATAGATATGTTGTTGCTGGTACGACCATCTGGAGCGGAGCGAGTTACATTTATACAAAGGACGCTGTTAAGATCCTCAACAAGCCCAAGCCTTGAGAATCTTGGCTTTCGGAAATTTAAAAAAGCAAAATGTCCAGACTTGGTAATTCGAGTCACCACGGGACAAGGCACCGTTGATGAGACTAAAAAAAAACCTCACTAGCCAAGAGCTGAAAAAGACGGGTGAGTAAACGGTGGTGGTGTGATATTACAACCCCCTCCCTAGTCAACATAAACATATGTATAATAAATGCCCCCTGATGAAATGATTTTCCAACGCCCTGTCAAGTTAAGCTCAGGCATGGTTTCAAACTAAACTCATGCTTGGAGACTGTTTTGGTATGCTTTGAACTAGTGAAGTTATCCCAACTAGTCCCAACGTCAAAAAACATGCAGCCCTACGAGATCAAAAAAAGACATGTCAAAATATGGTTCATGTCCGTTGGAGATAAGCTTATTTCACAAACACCAACCGGTTCCCTTGACTAGATTGACTTTGTGATCTCCCCCTGCAAGATATAAACGCCGCCTTAGCCCAAACGCTTTCCTTTCTATTTTAGATATTCGTACATGTTCTTCATACAAGGGGTAAAAACTCAAAGCTTGTTTTATTTCCCTTTTATTTCCCCGTGTTCAAGGGACCTCGCCTAAACTCTCTCGGTATGGGTTTCGTCTGACGTAGGCTAAGAGTCTTAGACTTCCTGATGGAGTCACACCCTCGACTCTTCGAGCCTGGGCAAGAGTCTCTGGCCTGGCGACTTTGAGAGCCTCCTTCTCTGAGATGGCGAGACCGGGAATCTCATCGTAGTCGAGACTCGTGGGGATGCGGACACGCTCGTCATTAGTGAACTGACTGCGTTCCGCTTCTTGCATCTTGATATAGGGGGCGTAAAAGGCTTCAATGGCAACACGGCTGCGTACACGCGGCGAGTAGTTCATGATATCGGGCACGACGGATACTAGCTGCTCAAGCTCGATGCGTGTGTTGGAACTTGAGAGGCGGAGCATGTCGAGACCATCACGTCGGGCCGTGTTGCGCTTGAGATGGAAGCCCTTTTCAATCCACTGCGCAGGACTGAGGGATACAGACCGAAGAGCCTTTGTGAGATCGTCCATTTGCTGACGCTCATCACTGTATACACTCCATCGCTTGTCCGAGATGACACCCCACTCATGACCCTTGGATGTGAGTCGGAAGTCGGCGTTGTCAGCTCGGGCAGCCATTCGGAACTCGCTTCGTGAAGTGAACATGCGGTATGGCTCAGTGACGCCTTTTGTGATGAGGTCGTCAACCATGATGCCAATATATCCATCGCCTCTTGACAGGGACACGCCTGGGAGACCCTTGGCTGCACGACCTGCGTTGATACCCGCGAGAACTCCCTGGCCTGCAGCCTCCTCGTAGCCTGTGGTTCCGTTGATTTGTCCAGCCAGGTACAGACCGCTAATGGCCTTTGTTTCCAACGTTGACCTCAGACCGCGAGGATCGATGTAGTCGTACTCAACTCCATATCCGGGCTGGAGCATCTTGGAATCCTCCAGACCTGGGATCGTGCGGAGTGCTTGTTCCTGAGCCTCCGCAGGAATTGTCATTGACAACCCGTTCGGGTAAACGATGGGGCTGTCGAAACCCTCAGGCTCAAGCCAGACGATATGTCGATCCTTGTCTGCGAAACGGATAACCTTGGATTCCAGAGAAGGGCAGTATCGAGGTCCCTTGATGGTCTCGCGGATGTGAATCGTCTTTTCGAGGTTATCCCGAACAATCTGGTGCGTCTTCTCATTCGTATAAGTCACACCGCAAGTAAGCTGCTCCTCCACCGCCACCGTATCATTGAGGTAGCTAAACGGAGAAGGAGGATCATCTCCATACTGCTTCTCCAAAATGTCAAACTTGATGCTGTCTCTGGCGATTCTCGGAGGTGTACCCGTCTTAAGACGTCCCAGCTGAAAACCCGCATCCCGTAGTGACTTGCTTAGGCCAAAGGTAGCAGCCTCTCCAATACGACCAGCGGGATAGCACTCGAGACCAATATGTATTTCGCCACCGAGAAATGTTCCCGTCGTGATGATGACTTTGCTCGTGGGGAGGACCTGGCCCGACTCGAGTCGCACACCGGCGATACGACTTGAAGCACCATCTACGGGCTCTTGGTCTGATAGGACGATATCGGAGACGCTGTCGAGGACGATGGATAGGTTCGGGTATGAAGAGAGTTCCTCCCTCATGTATTTCTTGTACAAGTCTCGATCGATCTGCGCACGAGGTCCCTGTAGCAATACCCATTAGCTTGTCAATCTTGTCAAGGTAGGCAGTGTCACAAACCCAAACCGCTGCTCCTTTCCGTCGGTTCAATACGTGAAACTGGACGCCCGCCTTGTCAATGATCCTCCCCGCCAGACCATCAAGCGCATCAATCTCCCGGATGATGGTTCCCTTGCCAATTCCTCCGAAACTCGGGTTGCACGAACATGTCCCCAGGTTGTCAACCTTCGGTGTGATCAAGGCCGTCCGGGCTCCGGCTCGTGCGGCCGCGGCGCATGCTTCGGCTCCAGCATGGCCACCTCCAATTACCACCACGTCAAAAGGCCTATGGCGGGCTGTTAGACAAGATTGCGATAAGCGACAGAGCAATATTCAAACTCACCTTGAGTCGCCAGAGACAGTCGCAAGATGCCGTCGTCTTCCAATCTGCCATTGACGTCGCCAGACGGTTGGCCTTGGTCTTAATAGGGAACGCATTGCATGTCGTCGCTTGGGATGCAAAATTCGCCTTTCGCCATCCAATGTTGAAAATCAGTTGTCATTAATGGAGTTGCGACTAACCAAAATATGACGTTATCGAGTTCAATTACCAACCTAAGTACCTAAACACCAAAACCAGGCTCTCTCGTCTCTGTAGACATCTCAGAGCTTTTCAGACCCGATTCTAGACTAAAAAGAGAGCTTGAAACCCATCGCTGTCATAAAAGAATACACCCTCTAACTGTTTATCGCCTTCCTCGAGCCTCTGGCCATGACGTGACAGCATCATCAACCTCTTCCAAGAACGAGGCTGAGTTGTGGATTGTTGTACCGCCAAGCAAGATTCGCACACCGGGGCTCGTCGCATTTAGCCCTGAAATCATCTTTGCCTCCTCATACGTAGCTCCGCCGGCAATGAACACGATAATGTCCTGAGGCTTGTCCTTGGTCGTACCTCCACCCTCTACGAACGGATACTGCTGTTCCTTTAACCTGCCCTTGATCATGTTCTGGAGGGTGCTCTCAAGAAGTGGGCTGTGCTGCGTGTAGACGTTCTCGACGCCCTTGAGACCCTTGAAACGGCTCGACGCTCCAGAAAAGATACCAGCCGACTCAAAGATTTCCGAGATTCCACTTTGGGACTGAGACGCGTGAAGTGATGAGTGGTATGCTGCCAACTTGTCCACAAGCTCCGCCTGTCTGGGGGTCACACCGCCGGCTGCAACGAGGAGGTCTGTGAGCATGGCAAGGGAGTTTGAGGGATGCTTCTGATATCGAAGAGCATATAGGGCCACTAGGCCGACCTTGCTTTCTGAAGTGACGTTGGGAGACTGGATGAGCCGTTGGATGTTCTGTTACTGGATTAGCGATGTCGGACTCTCGCATCAGTGATATAATATTACCTTGACGTCAGTTCCATGGTTCTCGTTACAGGCCAGGCTCTGTTCCAGCTCACTGACTTCGAGCAAGTTCTCCGCTGCTACCCTCCGACTGAGTTCCGAAACCAGCGTGACATGTTTGCTAACATTGCCAGAGAGCTTGCGGAACTCGGGATACTCCTCAATAAATCGTTTCATATCGGATATTGACTCGATGTTTTCGTTGTTCTTGGTCTTGGACTGGAACTGGCCAACGTACTCCTTGATGTTGCCTCCCAGGTCGCCAAAGTTGAGAAACATGTTCTTCTTGAAGAAAGGATCCTGATCCTGGGACAGAACAATCTCCTTCAGATCCGGACCAACATCGGGAACGTCGCTCAAGTCGACACGGCCGTTCTGGATGCCTAGGAGGTGATGCACCATGGCCTGGTATGTCCACTGTGTAAGTAACGGCGTCACAGGATCCTCTCGGCGATCCAGCACAAGAAGGATAGGGGGCGTGTCAACTGGACGGAACTCAAATAGTTGGTCCTCCTGGGTCATTAGATACCGGACCTCGGATGCCAGTTTCTTGGCGATGGGGCTTGTCTTTTGGTATCGAATGAGAGGCTTCTTCTTCAGCGATAGTAGCACTCCTAGGAGACCCTCGGCGCAGCGCTGTAGAGAGTCGGGATTCCATGTATCAGGGCTGCCGGCCCAGATGCGGCGATGGGGAAGTGTGAGGCCGATGGAAAAAAGATCGGGGTTGATGACGGTGAAATCAAGATAGTACTCCTGAATCAACTTGACCACCTCGTGATCATCCGACTCGGCCAAGCGTTCCAGTGCTGACTTCTTAATCACGTTTGTGAAAAACAGTTGGTACTCTCCATACTTGGGGTCTCGCAGCTCGTCTATGAGCAGCTGGATGGTTTCGGGTGATGGCCGCACGATACAGAGACAGCGTAGATGTCGCATCCTCTCGCGGTTTGCAGCGTCCAGACGGTCGATGAGGTAGACCTCGTGGCTGAGAAGGGAAGATTGCGTGATTGCGGTAGAGACGATAGAAACAGTTTCCCTATCAAGAAGGAGGATCTTCATCTTGGCAGACGACGTATCAGTCGTGGCAATGATCTTATTGATGTACCCGGAAACGGCCTGGGAGACGTCCATGATGGCGGTTGTTGCAGCACCCTAGGGCTGCGCAGATAGATATTCCTTGATTTTTCGATTCTCGTGTTCAATGAAACAGATATGCAACAATTTATGTTATTTGAACGTGTTGTGATTGTTTGTTGGGGAAATCGAAGATGGTTCTTGCTTGCAGGGAGGCTGGAGAGCAGTCGTCATGAAGTGAGCTCAGTAACAGCATGGCCACCTCGGTACCTACATAACTCCGATTTCCCCCGGCAAGCTGAGAAGGAGCTCCACATGCAGCCAACCTCTTCATCATGAGTGCTCGGTGACATCAAAAGCTTGAATGGCAACACCGTCATCATGTTGGACGGTTTCTATTGATCGCGTTGTAATTTCCTCGAGGCTATTCATCAAGGGCCCTTGAACCTCTCAGAAGCCCATTGATCCTCCCCTCCATCCTCAATCATGGGTGATACCTGTCCCCAGTCGCCCGAACGGACGTGAGTATCAACGTACCCTGCATCATGTCATTTACCCGATCTGACATTCTATGACCAGTCTATCCTTCACCCAAGGCTTTATAGTCGGACAAATATCGGTCGTTCTTGTGCTGGCTGCATTCATCAAGTTCTTCATCTTTGGTGACCCTCCTTCACCCGACGTCACCGCTTCCTTGAGGGCAACTGAACGACGGTCAAGGACGCTTGCTCATAAGCGCTCGTTGCTTAGTCTGCGCAGCTCTGGCAGTCGTCAAGAAAGAGAGTTGAGCCGCAAGAAGTCGAGTGTGCTCAGAAACCCTCCTGTGCTTACCATTGGGTCCATTCTCAGCAAGACGTACTACAATGTCGATAGCCATCAGCCCGAGAGTCTCGACTGGTTCAATGTCCTCATTGCGCAGACTATTGCTCAGTTCCGCAGCGATGCACAACATGATGATGCCATTCTCGGCTCACTAAGCAAGGCGCTGAATGGGACCTCGCGCCCGGACTTTGTTGATGAGATCAGGGTTACGGAGCTGAGCTTGGGTGAGGACTTTCCCATCTTCAGCAACTGTCGCATCATCCCAGTCGATGAAGATGGAATGAGTCTTGGTATCGGAAAGAGGTTTGACCCGGCTACGGCAGCCAGAGATGGCACGCGCCTTCAAGCACGGATGGATGTTGATCTGAGCGACATGCTCACCCTTGCCGTGGAAACGAAACTCTTACTTAATTATCCCAAGAAATTATCGGCGGTACTTCCTGTCGCACTGGCCGTCTCAGTGGTTAGATTCAGTGGCACACTCTCAATATCCTTCATCCCCAGCAACCCCTCTCAGCCGACCAGGATGATCTTTAACTTCCTCGACGACTACCGGCTAGACTTTTCCATTCGGAGTCTTCTCGGCAGCCGTTCTCGACTTCAGGACGTCCCCAAGATTGCCCAGCTTGTCGAAGCCCGCCTCCACCGGTGGTTTGATGAGCGAGCCGTTGAGCCACGGTTTCAGGAGATTGCCCTTCCTAGTATGTGGCCGCGAAAGAAGAACACCCGAGGCCCGGATGACGGGCTGGCCGAGGGGAGTGCTTCCATGGGTCGGTCAAAGGGTAAGGATGTTGGTCGAGACTTGCGAGACGAGGTGTTTGGAAGTGATGCTGGTAGTAGGGACCGAGCATCACTCCGTCATCGCCGAGGGACGAGAAGTGACAATAGTGACGACTTGTCGATGCCTGGATCGCTCCCTCGGTCTCAGAGAGGTACATAGCCATGTATTATTAGTCTTAAGAAACACTCCAATTCACTTAATTACGAAACACTCGCACGGTTCTTGTCAGCTTCTGGAATGTACACATGACCGGCAGATGTCAATGTTAGAGTTTCGTTGCTCATTACGCGCACAGACAAGAGCGAGCGTTGGACTAACGGTGCCGTGAGCCTTGACTACACGTCTGGAACGCCGAGTCTGGGGAAGACGGCCATAGCGTAGTCTATGAAGGGAGATTCTTTATTTACTTCTAGTCGTGCGAGCGATCTAAGGGTGCGTCATGGCGGAAGTCATCTCAGAACTCGGCCAGAGCCATGGGAGTCTCGGTCAACGAGTACAAGTTCTGCAACCAGGCTACCAAACCAGCCACCAGGAGCACGTAATAGACGGCCGTGTATCGCTTCCGAGCTGGATCATCTTCTGCTAGCCAATATGGGTCAACCTGCCCCCAGAAACGAGGCAAGCCCATGCAGTTACAGAAAGCATGGATAAGAACAACAGCCAGAAGGCTGCCGGTCCTCAGGAACAAGAAGGTGGCATAAGCACCAAACAACGTGGTGTAAGTCAGCTGGAAGAGGGATCGGAGAATGGCCACGGGAAGAGGAGTATGAGGATGAGTGATTCGGAACTCATAAAAGTGGTGAAGATGAGCCAGTCCAAAGACGAGAGGTGAGAGGAAGATGGTGCCTGTAAGGCTGGCTCCGGAACGAAGAAGTAGGGGTACTCCAGCCGAACGGAACAGACATTCTTCGGTGATTGGGCCCTTTCGGTAAATCAGTATTGAGACGAAAAAACCAGGCTAGAACAAGGTACAAGAAGCGGTGTGAAGAGGAGGCTGAAGTTGAGACGACTGCGGGGATTGTTTGAGGATTGACAGGGGCAGCATGGGGGATATCAAGGGGACAAAGTCAAGTTGACGTACCGCTACCATGTTCCTCCAGGTGGGCCAATCAGTCCAGAGGTCCCTGAGAGGCTGGAGATGAAGCCATTGCCTGGCGGCTCCGTCGACGAAGAGAGACTCATACAGGGGGCCGGCGAAGAGCAAGGCTGTGAGCCAGAGGGCCCGGGCAGCGTCGACGAGGCCGACGGGCCAGTAGCCCATGAAATGCAAGGGGTTGGGGATGGCGATGGCGGCGTGGGACGAGAGCAGGTACAGCGTCACGAGGGAGCATATGGCCGTCGAAAGCGAGACGACAAAGATGCGGGCGCGGATCGCCTCGGGGGCATCCCTGGAGCGGGTTGGCGAGGGCCTTGTGGCCGCCGAGAAGTAGAGTGGGATGACATAGACGAGACAGTAGACGACCTGTATTTTAATGGTTCAGATGATGCAAGTCAACACTACATGAGACGCAAGATGTGATCTCTTGATTCCGGGGAGGTAGAGAGTGATATGAACCAGGGGGTTGTGAGAATCCGTGGAGGTGGATGGATTGTGGTTGGGACTAGGGACAGGTGAGGCTCACCAACAAGGCCACGGCGTGAGGCGGTGCGAACCCCGCCGAAATCGAGGTAGACATTGGATACTCTTGTGAGAAGGGCCTGCTTTTATTTTTCAAGCGGTCGTTGGTGAAGGATGAAGAGGAACAGGCTCAAGTTTGAGAGAAGAGAAGAGAGAAGAAGAAGTGCCTGGCTAAAAGAAGAACCGGTTGGAAGAATGTCAATGGGGCAAACAAGAGAGAAAAACAGTCAGCATTACCGCACTCTTTTGTCAAAGAGAAGCCATTCAAAGAAACGAAACCGCCAGGCTAAGAAAAAAAAGAGGACCAGCATCCAAAAAGCACAGATTGTCCTCACCAGCCACAACTTGGTTGGATGCCATTGTCCTCAGAATTGGATCCATCTATTTTGCCTCTAATGCTTGCTTACCCAAGCAAGTAGACTGGCATTCTTCTGCCCCATGGGAATAATGACATCCACGGGGAAAAAAGGCCATCCCACTGTGAAAAAAATGTACAGGGTCTTTACGGGAGCTAGTGAGGGATAACTGGGCACTTTTCCTCTTCTTCTTCTTCTCCCCCTGGCGTTGTTCGTCCTTCATTTCAACGTGCATACGAGCTATGGGGGGCATGCGCAGCTTCCGCATGCGGTGAGCTACAAGGTACATAAAAGCCCTGGGAAGCGAAATGATGTGGAGATGTGAGTTATAATATGTTCTCATAAGGGACCTAATGAAAGCAGGACACGAATGTTTTGCAATATCCCGAGATGGTCAGTTGGGAGATGAATTTGTGAACGGGACATAATGTTCATCGACAGTCGTGCATGACTAGTGTAGCCGCATACTTGTCCGTCTGTCTGCTCAGCCACCACAGACATTGACGATATCCCCTTACCTCAGCTCAGGCAAGGGCATGAATCAAGGCGAGAGACGGCGAGTGACGGTACCTGCATTAGGTTCAGCGGGCCCCGGCACCAAGGAGAGACTGTTCCGTGGTCACTGACCGATACGTAAGAGCATGAGGAAAGGAATCGTCGAGAGGACTTGTTGCTTAGACCAGCTACACCGAGCATGCCGAGAAGCATGACGGCATGGAGATTATTGTATAAGAGAACAGATCCATCTCATCTGAGAAGGGACCTTCTGTTGGCTTTGCGGTCAAATCTTCATGCTTGAGACATTGAAAGACAAGACCGAGACAAAAGCTCGTCGGTAAGCTGCCGACACTAGCCAGCGATAGTCCGACAATCAACAGTCTCGCCCGTCTGCGCCCTAGACCGAGGATTGGAGCGCCCCATGGGACACTAAAATAGAGGGAGAGACGCGACTTAATAAACACGGAGACGCGAGCCTGACACGTCTGACAAAGAACATCAGCGGAGCCTCAGTGGAAGATCTCGTCCGCGGCGCCAAGCTAAGCAGAGCTTAAAAAAGAACAGAGACGTCTTGAAAAGTTGTAAATCGCCAGCGAGGAATGGCTGTCGATGACCTGTACGCAGAGGACAGAATGCGACCTGGTGGAGAGAAACAAAAAAAGGTCACATTTAGGTGTTTCTGCAGGTCTCGGTTTCGAGAGGCGCCCTCACTCGGCTGGTGGATTGGAACAGACGCCGCGAGGACCATGTACATGTGTCTGCACCAAATCTGATAGGCAGGATATGTACCTGGTCGCTTTGACGAGTTTGCAACATTGAGGTAAAACAAGCGCCAGAAGCAGAGACAGCAGAGGCGGCCAATTTCGACGGCCCTCGACTTTCGAAACTGCTTCTTTTTCGTTCCAAGAAAAGAACAGACGCAAGAGTTTATCCCGGCTTTTGTGAGATTGAATGGCTGACGGTAGTTGATGCCCATGATGGGATCATGTATTGATGCCGGCACATCGTCATTCTGTGCCCAGGCTCCCCCGTGCACCCATTGAAGGCTTGCCACCTGGCCGAGGTGGTCCCAGTTAATTTCAACTCTTCTCAGAGCCTGGCCTGGCCTTTTTCTCACTGTTCCAGAAAGACAGTCAGCGACATCTTACGAGCTGCGGGCTGGTGTTTGCAGGGAACCATGTGCTATTGGGCGTCGAGGCAGAGCATCCGTCCCCGCCAATAGTGTCCCGATAACCCAATCAGTTCAGACAGATTTGCCCACAACCTTTAGAGGTGCAGTCTCTGAGGGGACAAATCAGAACTCGTCGTGGACACAACCATTTCCATTGCCCTCTTCCCCTGAGATTTGAAGCTTGACTGATTTGTTACCCCCCCCCATTCTACAATGACCTTCCTTTTGGAAAAAAGGGAAAAAATCTCTTCAGATCTCGCCCAGCCCCCGTCCCAAGTTGCGGTGTCTTCAAGACACCTTGGACCGAGATGTCAGAACCACCACCCCTATCTCAGGCACCCTAGCTCCCCGTCTCCCCCTGGTCCAACGGTCCCCATCGCCCGCCGCCGCGCCTGCAGGAGGGAACCCTGTTGCAGCCAAGGTAATATCCCATCGCCGCTAGCTGCAGAATCGCCTCCATGGCGCTTCCAACAACTGGTTCACGTCGGTCGATTGCACTCCACGTCACCGGCTCCCAGGGGGGAGGATCCAATAGCGGCGCCGTCGTCTGCTGCTGTAGACAGGCCCGGATCTCAGGTAGGTTCTGTTCCACACAGCCTGTAAGGGGAAGCTTTCGCTTTCCAGCCATCGTCTGTGTGTGCCCCAGGGCTGCTTGTGCTTCGTGCTTGTGCTTGTGCTTGTGCGTCTCGGCCGTCCGCCTAAGGGATCGCTTGACAGCCTCCTCTGTAGCTTGTTCAGGTCACTGCAACCTAAGCCAAGGAAAGGTACCTACCTACTCTGGCCGCTGCTCCTGCCGCCCGTGGACCGTGGTCGCATGTGGAGGCGACCTGTCTTGCCCTTTTCTCTCTTGAAGCTACCTACCCGCCCGCTCCTTCCCCATGATCCCATCCATGGATCTCTCGTCTTTCTCCTTCCGTCAATCGTTTCCAGTCATCCTCTCTCCGTACATTCGCTCGCTATAATCGGCCACTGGCCAGTCACTCATTCAATCTTTTGATCTTTCTCGCACTCTTTGCTTCTCCCTCTATACGTTTGATGCTTCATTGATTATTCTTTTCTCTTCTTGGTTCTTTCCCTTTTTGGCCTCATCTTTTACACCACCAGTCCAGTGCTTCTTCCCACCGACGAGATTTCACGACCCAGATTCAACTTCACGATAGTTTGGATATCTGGTATTGGGTTACTCCGACTATTACTTGCTCGACACTTTTCCAAAATTTTGGTGCTCTATTAATGCCATCTTCTCTCTGTGGCTCTTAATTCCTCCGTCGACCTCCCGTCCCGGCCGTGGCCCTTCTCACGACCTCCGAACCCCTGACCCACCCCGGCTCCGACAGAATCGACGTCTACGCCTCAACGATAATTCTTCCAGAGATCAATTGATCTTGCCCATTCTGGGGACAAGATTAGCAGCTTCTTCTTTATCTCCTCATGTTGTGGATAGAACGGCCATTGCCGCCCTGTGCGTAGAGCATGTCGGTCTCCCCGTCTTGCTCTCCGCCGAGACGGGCCTTACACGAGCGCACCGACTCCGAAAACAACCGTCTCCAGATTCGAATCGTTCCTTACAGTCCGCCCCGAATCGCTTCCGACGGCACCACGTCCCGGCCCATCTCCTACGCCGATGCGAGTACCGAGACCGATCCGGAGCTTAGTCAAATCTGCTGCGACCCGATACATTCCTCAAGTCCACTCTTTGAAACGCCTTCGCCATCCCTGCAGCGGGGCAGGACTCGAAAGGCTGCACTGTCGCCTTCGCCATTGAGCCGTTATCCTCAGTATCCTTCCTCTGACATCGAGCTGAGCCCTTCTCCCTGGACACCACACAACGATGCCGACGACGAGACTTCCGATGTTTCACATCCGCGCTCCCGCGAACCCTCGACTTCTCCTCGACCCCCATCTCGCCGGAAGGTGATCAATGTACACGCCGACAAGACCTTTTCTGTACATCCTCAAGAGGCTTCAACTTCATCGAGAGTCGACTCTTTCTGGTCTCGATCTTTCACAGCCGGCAGCAGTTCCTTTGGTCGGGCATCGTTTGGTCGAGGATCCTTGGGTCAATTCAGTGAAGACCATGTCAGTCGCCCAAGTTCTCCCTTGACGCCTCTTACAGAGCGAAGTCTCAAGTCGCCAATTGCCTTTTCGCCGCCACAAGCTCTCGCTAGTTCTGACAATTCCTCGCCATGGAACTACCGCATGTTTGGGGGTTTGCGCAAGGTGCCAACCACACCTGATGTGAAACAGTCACAGTTGCAGATTCCGGGACCAGCTCCTGAACTGCCTCTCCCCCCTCTACCTGAGATTGAGTTCTCAGACCCAGGAGTTGGCCCGTCTTCACAGTTGCTCAACCAAAAGACGTCGTTTCAGTCGACTCTTTCCGAGCAATCAAGATCAACCCTGTCTGACAGGACCAACTATAAAGTCTATGGCCAGAGCTCCCCAGTGGCTGTTGCCGATTTGACCAGCTTGCCAGCATCGTCTATTCATTCCAACATTGAACTAATCGGCGATCCTTCATCAGTGGATCCCTCCTTGCATGACAATACTCGTCCCCAAACAAGGGACAGCGACGCGAACTACGTAGTTCATGGTCACTCAGCCTCTTCATCCGTTGTTGCTGTCAGGACCCGCGTAAGGCCAGAGTACTCTCAAGAGAGTCTCGTAGTCCCTCCTCTGCGAACCAGGAAGAGGCGGTCCTCAGACACTTTTGGTCTCGTCAAGACTCGGTCCCGTGAGACTCTTCGATCGGCATCGCTGACCTCGCTGTCGACAATCTTCACTCAAGAAGCCACTCGTGGCCTCTTTGTTGGACCTGCCACCATTCTTCACCACACTGGCCCAAGCTGGTATGACCCTGCCACCGCTAAGAGCCCCAACATCAACACTCCTCGCTCCCACCAATGGAGCGGTCAGCTCTCAACTGTCATGTCAGAAAGCGAGGGAGGTAGCGAGCCGGCATCTCGAGCTCTATCTCTCTCTTCCGTCCCTGGAAGACGTGGCAGCGGCCTGGGTAGCAGCCACAGCAAGTACGTCTTGAGCATGGCTTCTTCACTTGCTGGCCTCGAGGAGCACATCGAAGCATCCTCTCATCACTCAAGAAACAGCTCACTGGAGCCCCCTGCAGCTGCATATGTTCGGGGATTGTCTCGCGACCCTATGACGGGAACCATCCGTCTTATTCGCGACCATGACGAGGATGGTGATGGTCTCGCGGACCTGGAAGTACTTCATCATCGCTCCTCACGGACACGGATGGGAAAGTTCTTGATGAGTTATGCCTCGGATCGGAGTCTTCGATCAACTGCTAGCTTCAATGCTGCTGTTCCAACCTGGGCGAAGTGAGTACAGATACGAACGACTGATGAACTTGTGACTGACTCTTCCAGGGTTTACTATGGTAGTGGCGAACGAAAGTGGCTTGCTGCTCAGCCTTCCATGGAATCAATGTACTCTGAGTTCAGTGATAGCCAGCCTCCTGCTTCTTTCCTCAGCAGAACACCAAGCCAGGATGCCAATGCCACTCACATCCATAACCCTCGGCGCCGACCTCGAGAGCCTGTCCCTCACCGGAGATCTGAGGCAGGCTCCATGGATATTACTCCTGCACCGCCGACTCACCCAGTTATGACGGTTGTTCGCAACTTGAAGAAGCAGACCTCGAGCATCTGGTCGCCTCACCTGGCCCGTGATCGACGACCCTTTCAACACAGCATCTGGCAGCCACCTACCTCAGACTGGGAAGCTCGGAGCGAGTTGACTGGACGACGAAATGCCCAGGTCACCATGTTTGTAGTGGGATTCATTTTTCCTTTGGGTGAGTTTGTTGGTATCATCTCTTGAGCAATCACTAACTGTCACAGCGTGGATGTTTGCCGCATGCATGCCTCTTAAGCCAGTTCAGTCGGAAGATACTGAACGCAACCACAGCACATCTAAACTGGAGGTGCGACGCAACCCATCTGGCCAGACGACCCCCGAAGAGGACCACGTCTTCGCCAGCGCAATCTGGTGGAGAAAGGTCAACCGTGGCATGTCCATCATCGGCGTGCTGATGGTCGGCGCCATCATCGCCCTCATCGTGACAGGCGTCAGAGCTCACTGGGGCCATTAATATTCAACAACCAACAAGACATCACGTTCTGATGACCTGAGTCGGGACAAGATCCCTGACATTGAAACCCACTATGGAACTTCACGGCATCTCAACGATTGACGACACATCACGACGATACTTTGTTTTTGCTTATCGATCAACTTTGATCCTTCAAGTCTCACGATCTTTTACGCACCTTGTCAAAAAGCTTCAACGACCAACGATTTTATTCTGAACAAACACCTTCGACGAGACACGATGTTTTTGAATTTTGTTTTACTTTTCATGTCTCAACGTTTCAACGACATACGATTTTGCCCTTTTTGAATTCCCTTGCCCAAGACTCCCTTACACGACACACCGTCCCTTTGGATCTCATTTACTCGAGACTTGCAACACTGCAACCCTTTTCTCTTTTACACAAACAACATACATGGGCTCTTGTACCACCAATCTACCAATCATATCATATATGGATCAATCCGTCCGTATACCTGTACTATAGTTGGATCTGGCAGCAATGCTGAGCGGGAGAAAAAGGACTGACAGCATGAAGACGCTCATTCTTACGATACCATGTAATTACCACACCATACCAGGCCCTGAGCACTAGCACTTGCACTCGGGCGTCACAGGAGAGCCGCCATGGCTTATCCCAGAGATAGACTAATGAATATCATGTAGAATCTACAAAACCTACTTGAGACTAAAGATTGACTGATTCATCCCATCGTTGATGTCTTACATTCGCTTACAAGCTAACTTCCCAAGACCTGAAACAGACACCATGATAACACCGGATTGATTGCTTCGTGGAGATGAGATGTGCGCCACACCGCACCTGAGATGATTACTCGGTATGAGCCTTGGTCCCGTTCCCATTGATGCCGTTCCCGTTGATCCCGTTGGCCTTTAGTTGATGGGCTTCAAAGTCAGCCCTAAGCTTCTTCTGCCTGGACTCAACCTCGGCCCGAATCTCTTCGACGGCCTCGTTGATGTCGCCCTCAGGATCCTTAGAGATGCCTAAGATGGGCTCCTTGCCCGTCAGGCTATCCGTGCTGAGAGAGCGGACCAGCTTAGCACTCGCTCTGCCCTGGCGCTTCTCGAGCTGCTTCTTGAGGGCGAGCTTGCCGGGGGAGTGGAAGAAGACGAGAGACAGAGCGGTCCAGATGATGGCGTAGAAGTAGACACGGGACCAGGCTAGGAGAGAGCCCTTGAGGGAGAGGACTAGGAAGGGTGCCGTGACAAAGGTGAAGGTGAGTTGGGTGGCGAGGTAGGATGCGTAGTCGTAGTACTTCTTCTTGGGAGTGGGGTTTCCAGTCACGGGGTCGAGGAAGAAGGGGCGGACGTGACGGCGGAAGTCTAGAGGATGTTAGCTGTTGATGTGATTGTAGATTTTGAGAGACTCACGCTTTGCGGCTGTCTGGATGAAGCTCGCGAGGACAAAGCTCAGATAGTAGCCTGGGTAGAAGCCATGCCACAGGGCACTGGTTCCAAACGTCATGAGACTAGCACGGAAGCCGGGCTTCTTACCACGGGGCGTAACGCGCAGATAGACGTAGTTCCTGAGCCAGTTGTTGGTGTTCATGTTCCACCCGCCGAGGTATCCTCGCGGGTTCTGAGCCGTCTCGACAGCCCAGGGGTCAATGTTCTGCAGACGGTTCCATGAGATCTTGCCCGTAACAGGATCCACGCCGTTGTAGCCCAGACCAGCGAGGATGCAGGAGCCTTCTGTGAGGTACCAGACACCGTAGTACTTGAGGCGTGCTGTGAAGCTGACCATGTACATGGACCAG